ATTGCCAGAAGAAATATCAAAAACCTCAGATATGCAGATGATACCACTCTGATGGCAGAAAGTGAGGAGGAATTAAGGAACCTTGTAATGAGGGTTAAAGAGGAGAGTTCAAAAAACAGTCTGAAGCTCAACAAACATTAATAAAAACTAAGATCATGGCCACTGGTCCCATCACCTCCTGGCAAATAGAAGGGGAAGATACGGAGGCAGTGACAGATTTTACTTTCTTGGGCTCCATGATCACTGCAGATGGCAACAGCAGCCACGAAATTAAAAGACTCCTGCTTCTTGGGAGGAAAGCGATGACAAACCTTGATAGCATCCTAAAAAGCAGAGACATCACCTTGCCAACAAAAGTCCGCATAGCCAAAGCTATGGTTTTCCCTGTAGCGATGTATGGAAGTGAGAGTTGGACCATAAAGAGGGCTGACCGCTGAAGAATTGATGCTTTTGAATTGTGGTGCTGGAACAGACTCTGGAGAGTCCCCTGGATGTCAAAGAGAACATCTCTATCCATTTTGAAGGAAATCAAACCTGAGTGCTCACTGGAAGGACAGATCCTGAAGCTGAGGCTCCAATACTTTGGCTATCTCATGAGAAGAGAAGACTCCCTGGAAAAGACCTGAGGTTGGGCAAGTGTGAGGGCAAGAGGAGAAGGGGGCGACAGAGGATGAGATGTTTGGACAGTCTCATCAAAGCTACCAACATGAATTTGACCCAACTCCAAGAGGCAGTGGAAGACAGGAGCGCCTGGCATGCTCTGTTCCATTGGGTCACGAAGAGTTGGATACGACCAAACGACTAAACAACAACAAGAGTCCCCTTCTTGGATGCTAGCTCCATGTAATCCTGTTCCAAATGAAAAATGTTTTCCATCAAGGTGACAGGAAATCTTTGTGGCTTTTGTTACAATAGGCCACTGAATCACATGGCTAACCCTCTGGAAATGTCTACAATAATTATGTAACTGTACTTAAAACAACAACAACAATCCTCAGAAGAGTAAAGGTCATTACCTCATCCAAAACTGTAGAAGGAGTAAACACCCTCTATGCGTACCACAAACTAGCAGTATCAAAGAGTATAACCAAATCAGCCACTCACTAGACCTCAGTAATCAACCAAACTCCCAACATTCCTTGAAAGATCATGCAGAGGAAGGTTACCTGCACTGGCTTCACAATTGGTTCGATGTTTCCATCCAGGCTGAAGCTCTTGGTGTAGAAGCTGAGTAAGTGGTGAAAATAAAATGAACAATAAATAAATAGTAATAAAAGTGCTTCATGTTAAATTTATTTTATTTTTTTATTTATTGTATTTATTGTATTTATACCCCGCCTATCTAGTCATTTCGACCACTCTAGGCGATATTACATATCGGTAGCCAGTCTATCTGATGTATCTATCTATGGATCTCACACTACAATTTATGCAGCAAAAAAACTTTTTTAGGATATACTGGTTACCACATCGCCATTTTAGGAAAGTTCTAAGCAAATTGTCTGAGTGCCAGTGCTGCAGTTCTCCAGTGCATTTCCTCCAATATACACTATGCCATGTCCCTCCATACCAACCTTTTCTGATTCCTACTCTTCCTCCCTCATCTCCCCCGCCCCTATCCTTAAAGCTCACGTCTGCTTACACCATCCAGCCCCCTCCGTCTGGCTCAGGTATAGTCCTTGGTCTCCACAACAGCTTCTCCATCCTGGACAGAGAGACCATTCTTAGAGTCTGTCTGATGTCTGGCATTCCTATGGTCTGGCCAGCCTTCGAGGGGTGCCGGATATGCTCAGACAGTCTGCTCAGGGTGCCAGCCATGGCGAACCCATCACAGGAGTACATAGGTGTGGGAATGTGCGCCATAACTTACATGTTTCTTATCACGTATTCATGTATTGTACCACGTTAATGTTCTTGTGAGGCTTGTTGCTGGGCAGAATAGACACAACGCCCTATTGTTCCAGGCCATTTTAGTTATGTAACTGACAGTTATGTAACTTACAAGACAATAAAAGGAGGTGCAGGGCATGGCTGGGAAGACAGAGTGAACAGTGAAGAGTGATCCTGTACGTCAGCCAGTGATCCTGAGCATGCTTTGAACTTGATATTCAGACTGCAGTCTCCTTAATTCCAGAGATCTCTCCCTCCGGACCCCTTCATAAATCTCTCCCTTCACCACAGTTTGCCGGAGCAGGATTCCGACACATAGGGGCAACTTTATTGTAACAGGTGGACCACTGCAGAAATTGTAAGCCCCTTTTTTCAGTAAAGATTTAAAAGGCATGCCCAAATGCTTACAACATTAAACCGCCTCAGTCCAAATGCCACATAGTACCAATCCAAAAATTTTCTAGAATTTGAAGATAATCATAATCTGAGACAACCATAATCTTAGTTTTATCATAATCAGTAATTGAATCTCAGACTAATGAACAGCAAAATCATCCAAAATTATGTAGTGCCTCAATCTTGACTGGGAGTTCTGGGTTGTGAACATTGGGCTTGGGACAAACCATGGTAAGTGGGATTCTCTTTCTACATTCCCATGCTGTCAGATGAAATCTCTCTTATCAAAATAACATATGTAGAGTTTTTGTATGTAATACTGTTCTGGATGCTCAATCTGAGACCATATAATTATTGAACTATAAAGCTCGAAGGGACACCAAGGGCCATCAATACCAAAGCAGGAAGTCCACAGCTAAAGCATTATTTATACATAGCCATCTAACTAGACATCTTACCTCCCCTGCAAGGTTGTTACTTGTCCCAGTGTACACCTCAAGAAGTAAGAACTACAGGCTTCCAACTTTTGGAACTTAATAGGGACTTTTGTGAACAGGCTTCTGATTTGCAAGTCAGTGCAATAAAGACCAAAGGTGAAAGACTAGATGGACACCATCTTGCTTTTCTACTATGCTTAGGCAATATGTAGGGCCCCCCGCTCTTAGGCAAATATTGTGGCCTCTTTCCCTACCTTCTAGCCCTTGCTTAGATGCAGGTTAATGTTACCGTATTTGCCGGCGTATAAGAGGACTGGGCGTATAACATTTCCACTCAAAATATAGAGTTTGTATATTTCTGAAGGGAAATGGTGGTTTAGAAAGATAAGGGAGAGGAGGAGGGCAAGTGGCCGGGCGGGCGGCGGCAGAGAAGGAAGAGGAGGGCGAGGAGGAGGGCAAGCGGCCGAGTGGGCAGCGACAAGGAGGGTGAGGAGGGCAAGTGGCTGGGCGGGCGGCGGCGGAGAAGGAAGAAGAGGGCGAGGAGGAGGGCAAGCGGCCGGGTGGGCGGTGGAGGAGGAGGAAGAGGAGAGCAAGGAGGAGAGCAAGCGGCCGGGTAGGCGGCAAAGGAGAAGGGCAGGCGGCTCTTGGCAGCCGGCAGGCGAGTGGGCAGCTGGCTCAGCGGCACGGGGCAGCGGGCTTTGGCCGCTCAGGCATGGCCAGCTCTGCTTCCCTCCCTCTGTCCAGACTGACCGACTGCCTGCCCGCCCGCCTGCCTGCCTTCCTCCCCGGCTGGCGCGGCCCTGTGTCACTCATGGCGGCGGCGGTTCCTTGTGAAATGCACCCGGCGTATAAGACGACCCCCACTTGGAGTCATGTTTTTCAGGGCAAAAAAGTCTTATACGCCGGCAAATACAGTATCTCCATAAAGGCATATGAAAATCTCCAGTAAAATTAGTTTTGAGTGATGTGACTCAAGTGAAGCTAACAGCAACACTATTCTTCCTTATTTTCTCAGGGAGCTATTGCACATCTTGATATTGCTTCACAAAAACTGTTTAATTTTTTAAAAAGTTTCCTGGATCCTTCTCCTTAAACACACAAGAGGTGGTATCTTACTTGATCACAACACAACTATATTTCAGTTTTACTACTGTTTATTAATATTATCCTTGATTTAAAAAATATTTTGATAGACTATATTGTACTGATATTGACCATTCTTCCATCCACAGTCCCTCTGTTGTGAAATCAAGCAGAGACGTCGTGGTGTGGGTTCAGTGTTGCGTTTGTGCCAGCACCTCCTCGACAATCAAGATACTTGCAATCTGAATGCGGATCACCAGCCAATGCAGCTGATCATTGTAAATCTGGAAAGAAGATGGGAAGCAATTGTCATGCAAGCTGTTCAGTGGCAGACTAGACTGCAGAAAAAGTTAGCAAGACATCCAGTAAGTGTTTCCTGTCAGATGTTTTTTCCCACCATTCTTGAGGCATATATTTATATGTGGTGCTTGTTTCCAAAGTCTATCAACTTATTTTGATAGCTTCACTAAAGCTGCAAGAGCAATTAAAATTTTTAATTCATTCTGCCTCCCCTTATGTTGCATCCAAATGATGAAGGGAATTCCTGGGAATCCCCCAAACTTGACTGGAGAGTTCCAGAAACTTTTCATCTTCCAGAAACAGCCATGATAGGACTGTAGCATATGACCTCACCCACACTGCTTGGCATAAAGTTGCACTAGAGATTTCAGTCAGTATTGAAAAGCATGCTTGACAGTTGTTAGGCCCATCTTTCCTTTCTTTAGAATTCTGTATTTGCCTACAATGAACAAGCACTGGCGGCTTCAAATAATTTGTGACAGGTAAGGTGTGTGATAGTGCCTTCATCTGAAATTATCCCCCAACAGAGCAGTTGGATTTTACATGACCCTTGCATGAGGAAGGGGCTATGACTGGCTGAACTAGGAGCAGACCTGTGCCTTCACCTGCTTCCATCCCATACATGAGAGGTCTTCAGTGGCACAAGTGAAGGGAGACACAGACCAGCTGACCCAGAGCAGACCACAGATAATAATAGCATTTCTTTGAGTACACTTAAAATGTCAGCAGCTGCCAATGGGGTGCTCTGTATTTGTTTTATTGTCTTGTGTTGTGGACTTAGTTTCATATTCCAGAAGACACTGCTGTCTTTTGCTTGACACACATGCAAAAACAATTGTGGGGGAAACCCTGCAGGCTGCATAAGCTGCCCCTGAAACTGGAGCGACTCTCCATTTTTTCCAGGCTAGCTGCTGCTGTGTATAGCTGCCATTCCTCTAAATAAGCTGCCATGCGCTAATTAAGGGCTGGTGCTGCTCTTGCAGCAGGAATGCAGTAGTCTTGTGGCTCTATTTGGATAGGAATCGATTGGGAGGTGAAGTAGAGGGAGGACGCAAGCACTGTGTGTTTTCTTGATGTCGAGATGCCAGAGAACTTCACAAGCGCCACACTGCTTTGCTCTCACTTTGCCTGGGGTAACCTAGGTTTGTTGACAGACTGAATTACCTTTTACCTGGTAGGGAATAAAACTTTAATTCTGCCAAGAAATAGCAGCCATTAAGAACTCTTGGTATAGATATTTGGTTTTAATTGCTAGTTTCCCGTTTGTTTGGGAGAGACTCTCAAAATACACATACGGTAATATGTACAGGTTTCTCTGGCTATAAAAGAGCTCTCAGAAACTGAATATTCTAGCTGGAGATGAATTTAGTTTGTCTCTCTTTCTTGCTCTCTCCCATTCTCTCCCTTTCTTTCTCTCCCGGTTCCAAGTTGGCATGCTACCACATTTTCTTTCATTCAGTTCCTGTGTAGTCATTTCTTGGGCTGATCCCAAGATTGCTTTCTCTGCTTTGCCTATCTCTCTTCACTTCATGATGTGCCAGCCTTGGCAGATGAATGGTATCCCGAGGAAACAAGTTTTTTTAAAAAATATTATTTGTGGTTGCCCACAGTGTACTGTAATATCTGAAAACAAATGGGGTATGTTTACATCTCTGATGGCATCTGACTCAGTATTGGCAAGAATCATCAGCAGTAAAAAAATACTGGCCTGGCTGATTAGATCATATCTTACGGAAGTTTAGGATCTGGTAGCATCTTCAGTCCATTAATATACTCAACAGCATGCAACATTTTCCTTTGTTCTATTTTCTTTTCATGATCTTTCATGGTATCATGTAGTTATTGGTGAGGAATAGTGCTAAAATGAGTTGAAAAGAGAGCATAAAATACAGTCCTCTTTTAAAAAAAAACACTTTATAAAAGATCTTCTGAAACAGTACAATTTACTGCCTTCACAGAGAAATCATATACATGAGTGCTTAAAAGAAAGGAGGGTAGGATCAAAATCATCTATTATTTATAGAAATTAATGGCATTGTCATTTAAAATACCGGTAGATGTGAATATTCTGCAAACATGGATATAATGTTTTAAAATCCTTTTCGGCATACACAAATTAAGATTTTCCCCCCCAGGCAGTCAAAAATATCTCCAAGTTATTTAGTTGGCGAAATCCATGGCTTCCCCAGGACTCATTGAACTCCTTTCAAACATATCTTGAAATGGCAGCTGACATACAATTGCCAACTTGAGCAATATCAAATACTTTTTCACCATCCAGTCATACATTTTCTAAAGATTATTTCATTGGATTCATTCTTTTAATTATATGAAAAAGATCAGTGGATTATTCAGGCTGACAGCCTATAACATTTCTTCTCAGAGAAACAAAACACAGAACATTATATTCTGGCCTAATTCAGTCAGTATTAAACAGTGGCCAGAATCCTACTTGTGTTTGCATAAGGTTACTGTGATTTGTCACAGCTCACTCAGTTCATTGACAAGGGGCCAGGTTGTATATCAGTCTTACGCCTTGTTTTCTACTTTGTACCAGAAGGACCACGGTACAATTAATAAATATGTCAGATATTTTTTACCCAAGAGCAGGCAACATCAAAAGCTTTGGGGGCAGCGTGCATTACATTTTCCATAGTACATGTTAAAGGGCACAGAATACACTGACCTAAGTAGCCCAAATCTTATGAAGCGACTTCCAAGAATTCAGTTCTCTGTGACCAGGAGCCAGACCTTCCTGGGGTTCTATGCATTTTACAATGTGCATAGTTCTTTCTTCCACATTATGTACCTGGCATACTCTGCTGTTCCTTGCAAATTCACCTATGTTCTGAAATAGCATGTCCTTGATTTTAATCTGGGAGGGCAGGATCATAGCTGAAGCCCCCATATGCATTTGGTATAGATGCTTTGAGTCTTTCGGTATTAGCTGCTTCCTCTTTCTATTTCTCACTGAATGCAATGCCTGCTAGGCCACTGAGTTAATCAATAGGGGTTGGCTTCAGGCCCTGACACCTCATCAACTAGCTGCAGCAGGTGACACAAACCTTACACAACTTGAATAGGATTCCAGCAAGTGGGTTTTACGCAAAGATGGACATATTTGCTTGTGTCATCCTCAGAGACAAGAGTGAGGAATTACTACATTCTTCTCCTCACAGGAGAGGATGGCAAGGAATTTCATGGAATTATTGGACTCTCACGAATGCTGTCTTGCTGAAAAATGCCTATTTTGCCCATGATTTTGTCTAGATTGTGCCTTTTTTGTTTGTCTGTCCCAAATTAGAGTGGCTGGTGTTTTATTTAAGAATGTAAAGAACTAGATGGTTTGTTGACATCTTTCTGAAAGAAAAAAACCACACAGTTCTTCTGTGTTTTCTCTGTGTGCTTTGTTTTTTCATAGAGAAGTGTTGCTAAACAAATTTTACTGGAATTACAGGGCCCTAAAGAGGATGAAAAGAATTTTTTTGTCTCACTCTCGGCTGGGGACAAGGAATCTCACTGGACTTTAACATTTCTTGCCCAGCTACCCTGCCTTGTCAATGCATCATGAATCAAGGAGGACGAGGAGTTTAATGAGTATTCTTTTTGTTCCCAGTTCAAGGATATCGAAAAGTAGGTTGCCTGTTGCTCCAAGTGCCAGTGGATATTAAGCACATAAAGCCAAGAACACTAAGTAAAGTCACTGAATGAGTCCAGGGCAAATATTCCCCTTCACTCTAACAGATAAAAAAGAAGTTGTGTGGTCTTTCTGCATGTCCCAGTGCATAAAGACCACGCAGGACTATTGCAATTCTTGAAACAAGGGTGGGTGATACCTTTATTAGACCACTGATACCTCAGAAGCAACTAACGTTTGAGCTTTGTCATACTCTTCCTCACAGAGCTTGCACAGGACAGAGGAAGAAAAGAAAACTACCCAAATCTTGGCCTAACATTAAAGCCAGGGTCTTGTAGCTTAAATGACATTCCCTTCATCTATAAAAGTGGAGAAAAGAGAATGCAATCAATCTCCTCATAGGTGAAAACTTGACATGTACAAGGTTGCAGCCTCTGTTTTGGAACTTCAACAAGAACTGCAAAGCTCAACCTGATGGACTGTCCTCCAGGACTTGAAAACTACCCTGTTCCTGAGATATTAGTGGTCTCACTTAGATGCTACTGTACATGCAATGCAAATGTGGACACACATTTGTTCCCTGCTTGGATTAATTACAGCTGTGTTATTTCGTTCTGGTGGATTAACAGAGCATTGGGGAAATGCACCCTACTTCCTATATTTTTAACCCTTGCCTTTCTAATTGATTATATCTCACTCTAGTGAAGTTACTGGTTGCGAGATACTGAAAGTTTGTAGGAGAAGGATGCTAGCCACCTTGTTGGAGGTGGCTGTTAAGATCATCCCTGTACAGAGTAGCCACTGACACATCACCAAAAAGGGAGACATGGGTCAACAACAATGACAAAAGTATGATTTGAATACAGTTGCATATACCAATGTATATGTGCACATGTTAAACTAGAAATATTTCTCATAATTGAACATTATTTTTGTAGTTTTGTGTGTCACTAGGGGAAGTGAGATGTGTGCTAGGAGGTCTGTGTACCTGCTGAGTTGGCTCTCCCAGTGCTACTGAGAATGGGCAACTTCAAAGTCCTGCTCTCCCTCCTTGTGGTTCTTTGTCTTTTAAATTGAACTTGAGTGAGGCAGCCCATCAAATGCAGAGTTGTCTTCCCTAAAAGGTGGATCTTTTCCTTAAATTATTGGCTGGTTTGAATTCTCTCTTCTTGGAGTAAGGCATTCTAGTGAACAATGGTTGCTCAACTAGTTGAAATGAACTATCTCAATGCCCTCCTTTGCCATCAACAGCATCCCAGGCAGAACGGACATGCAGTCATGTATGGGAAAGATAATACTATGCAGTTAAGCTGACATGGGAGAAGGCAGTACTTCACGTACTAAGAATTCCAATTATTTAGGGGTTTAAAGATCAGCACAAGCAATTTGAATTTCTGGGAACCAATTGAGATCTAATGTATCTAATGT